CCATTGGCTGTGGTATGTCCCTTGTCATCCTCACATCTAATAGACGTGATGATGTCACGGATCATTAGACTGCTGGAGCCCCCGGGGAGAAGAGGCTGTCAGGACTGGTCTAGCAGCCAGGCAGCACTGAGGATCAGGTAAGTATAAGTTATTTATTTTACATCCTAGACCAAAACAAGCAGTTAACCCTCGCAGTGCCGGGGTAGCCCCACTGCAAGGGTTCATTTTTATTCTCTCCCAGCGTTGTTCTTTAAGCTCATCATATACACATCAACCTGAACTTCACCAAAACTGAGGAATGTTAGAGCGAGGCGAAACTATCCAATCAGACAGGTCCAGCGGCCACGCGTTATGCTATGCGCAGTGAGCGCCCGCTGGTAGGGGCCGTACAATGAACTGTTACCACACATCCGCCTTGTTTACATTGTTGTTGACACTCCATTCACCTCCAGGCAGAGCAGCGCCGTGTGACGATGTGCGGCACTTCTACAGAGCACACAGCAATGCGCCGGTATGCGGTGACCACGGCCCATAGGGGACCATCGTCTTCTCTGCGCCCCTGCGCTGATCAATGGAGATCATTGCACCGGGTGTGACCGAGCCCTGCAGCTCCCTACATACGGTACAACCTGATTGTACGATCTCCTTTAGGCTGGGTTCACACCTAGGCGTATTGAATATGCGCGTTGTTCGCGCGTTACCGCGATTCGCAGTACAAAAACCGTGCAACGGACGCGCGTTTCCGTGGGCTACTTGGCTGTATCCCAATGAAAACGCAAGACCAAAACGCCCCAAAGAAGTACATGTACTTCTTTGGGCGTAGGCCGTTTTGTATCGCGTTCGGACGGGCGGAAATACGCCAAGGTGTGAACCAGACCCATTGAATACAATGGGATTTAGATGTTTGAGCGTTTTGTAGAGCGTGCGTCGAGCGTTGAACGCGCTACAAAACTTTCAGGCGTGAACCAGGCCTTAGATCTGCCAACAGTCACGTAGCACAAGAGTCTCCCGAGTGGATTCGGATGCATAGATTAGACAGAGCCGCATATCACATCGATGTTCTGTCCCATTGTGACGTGTGCAGAGAAGTTGCCTTTAAAGGGTTAGTTCACCTTTGCAACAGTGCAAAGACGAGGGGGCCGGAACTTTGATGAACACGGGGGGGGGATTTATCAAAACTGGAGGAGATTTGCACGGCAGCCAATCAGCTTCTCGGTCTCATTTTCAAATGTTATATTAACTAACTGAAGAGAGATGATGATTGGTTGCCACGGGCAACTGCTCCCGATTCCATCTGCTCCAGTTTTGATAACCCCCCCCCCCTCCACCACCATTGTGTAGCTTTAGGAATTGCAACACCGGTAGGCCCATTGCAGTGTGCCCTCGGCTTGGCTGAGGTACTAATAGGAGCGATCAGCGCTGTCCTGGTTGCGATCTGGGATGCCGCACATGTTGGGCGCACCCCCAGCATCACTTGAATGAGCGCTCTTCTGCCTGCGTGTGCGCACTCCTGCCCCTGAGCTCAGCCGCTGTGGTGACAGAGGGAGCATACGCAGAGGGAAGAGCGCCCATTCAAGTGGCGCACCCAAAGTACGGGGCGTCCCAGATTACAACCAGGACGGCGCTGATCGCTCCCAGTACTAGTGCTCCAGCCACGACGGGCCTACAGGTGCTGCAATTAAAACTACAAATCTTAAACCTACACAACGAGGGGAATTAATTAAAACTGGAGCAGAGAGAATCTGCAGCAGTTGCCCATGGCAACCAATCAGCTTCCCTGTTAAGTTATACTATGAGAATGAAACCAAAAAGCTGATTGGTTGCCATGGGCAACTGCTCTAGTTTTCTTAAATTCCCCCCAATGTTTGTAAACGTCCTGGTACCCTTGTCTGCACAGGTGAACTAACCCTTGAACTCCGGGGCAAGCTAACTCGGCACTGTAGCTGTTGTAGAACTACAAGTCCCATGAGGCATTGCAAGACTCTAATGGCCACAGGGATGGCTCCCAGAGGCAGAGGGATGATGGAATTTGTAGTTTCAGCTCAGGTGGAGTGCTGAGGTTGCCTACCGCTGCTATAACTGACCACAAATTACTATATACACAATCCCTTAGTAAATATGGCCATAGTGGTAAAGCTGGGGACCGCTTTTATTATCGCCCAGATGGCATGCATTGGTTGGGATCCCCAATACCACCCGACACTTGGCAATGTGCTGCCTCCCAGCTGGGCCTTGTAGTTCCCCAGACATGCAGAGGCCTACACAACGCCCAGCACCCCCCAACCACACACAGGTGAACCACAAAAGCTTTCAAGCCCCACACTCACCCCTTCTGTCTCCCATCCCGGCCAGGCCCGTGTGTCTCTTCTGGCGCACCGTCCAGCGTTCCGGGATCCCCGCACCCCTCCACGGATCAGGCCATTCCCCAGCCAGCCCACCGAGTAACCAGGCACCGCCGCTGATTCCCTCCCGCGGTCAGCCCGCACCGGACCCGCAGCCACCAACTCTCCCACCGCCCCCCTCGGCCCCAGATTACTTCGGAAGCGGAAGAGCCGCCATCTTGCTACACCCCCAGACGGGGCTCAGCCTCCCAGGAGGAGGAAAAGAGGGGGCGTTGCCTCCAGCCGCAAAGCGAACAGACAGGCCGTGGACGGTGGATTGGCCGCTTGAAGGGGCGAAGGGGTGGCGGAGGGGGACCTGCGGAACCGCCCGCGGGCTGCCAGGTGCTCCGCGGGAGGGTGTAGTAAGATGGATAGCCCACTTAGACAATGACCTGACGTGACCCCAGGAGAGAGGGTGTGGCAAGATGGCCGCGTGTCGGTCACAAGGCCGATTGAGGGAACGTCTAGGAGCAGCAAGATGGCGGTGCTTCCGGTTTCCTTATATGGACATATTTGTGTTTATCATCTTGTGGCGAAAAAGAATAAAACAAATCTGGCGGTGAAATTCAGAACTGCTAATCATGGGAGGGTGTTGTATAGGCGAATGGAGCTGTTTTCATGATAACAGCTTGGCACATGTGAGCAGACACAAATCCCCCATTGTGCTGTGCAGAGGTCATCTGGGTACAAGCACACGCATCCTGATAGAAGACAGTCTGTGCTGCCCGGGAGAAACCAGCAGCTGCTCACCATCGACTTCTAGCGACGCGCTAGATAAATAAATGCACCTTGGGGCAACGCTCTGCGACGTGTACTCCGGAATCTGCGCGTTGGGGCGCATATTTGAACAATCTCATTCTGAATCGCAAAGTGCACCAAAAATACAGCGTGCACTTTTTTTTTTGGTGCAACGCCATGCACTTACGTTGTAAAATGCCCAAAACACCCTCGTGTGTGAATAAGCCTTAAAAAAATGGGCAGGGCACGTTTCCGAGGTTATATTTTCTTAGACAGGAAGCCAGCAACAGCCTAGAAAATAGGTCTCCACCACCACGAAACCACATTATACAGCTTAATAAAGCCGTGGTATAGTGTCTGTATGTTTTCTGTGTTTACTACGTGCAGGATGTACAAAATAAACAAATGTTTATCTCTAGGGCCCAGGCATAGGCAACCTTGGCACTCCAGCTGTGGTGAAACTACAAATCGCATGATGCATCTGTCTGGGAGTCATACCTGTGGCTGTCAGAGTCTTGCAATGGCTGTTGGAACTTGTAGTTCAGCTGGAGTGTCAAGGTTGCCTACCCCTAACCTAATATGGGCATGTGGCCATATAAGGTCAGTGACCTCAGCCCAAGCATCCCGCCATTTTTTGGTGGTCAGCTGCGACGTGGGGAATGCCCCGTCCTGCAGTTGATTGGTTGGAAGCCCCCATGCAGCCAGGTGACTCACAAAGTATTGAAATCAGCGTGACAGCCAAGAAAAAGGAGGTTACGGCAATTGCATAGTCTGTGTTTCTTGAATGGATGCAGTACATCCAGCTGCCTGTAACATCTGCTTTTCTCCAGTAGTTCATCTCCACACATTGCAGGCACATCCCATTCACCAAGCTGCGTTCACAGGTGTAGCTCGGTCACATGATGGAGGGAATTTGTAACCTTACATGAAGGAGAGATAGCTCGCAGGCATGACTCATATTACTGCATGCAGCCATTAAAGCCACCGGCAGGCAATACTATCATTCGGATACACGTTGCCAGCAGGTGCTTTTACGTTCTGCGCTGTTGAGCCTGTGGCGTGTACGCACAATTGCCGCTTGTAAAAGGCCACCGCAGGTGAGCAGACTTGGAGTCACAAGTAGAGATCTCACAGCTCAAGTTCCAGAACTGTATAGGAAGCGATTCAACCTGCTGGCACTAAAACCTAGGGCTCATGCACACAGGAACCTAAAATGCTGCATTCAGATCCGAAATGTGTAAAGCTTCCTATGGATCTAACCGCAGGAGTATCGTATACTATGGACCCCTCTGCACAGCTGTGTGTTGAGCAGTATTCCCCTTGTAGCGTTGAGCTGAGTAAGGTTAAAGTAGAACATTTTGTGTCCACGGCCCGACTTTCACTGTATGTTACTCAGTACTAGTCATGTAAGCTGCGGAAAAATTCAGTTCAATTCGGATATTTGTTATTTCGGGATTTGGTTCCGAACGAAATTCGAATTTTCGTTAGTTTCGGATGAGTTTACGAATATTCGTTGCGAATACCACAGAAAACCATCTACAGATATTAATACTAAAGCTGAAGCTCCTAGATCCGAATGGCATCCGGGATCCGAATTTCCGAAATGCATTTGGGAGCTCCAGAAAACAAGACGGGTCTGGGAGCCATATACATATATTACTAACGCTGAGGCTCCCAGACCCGAATGGCATTCGGGAGTCTTGACTTTCCGAATAACATTCTGGAGCTCCAGAAAGCCATATGAGTCTGGGAGCCATATTAAAGCTGAGGCTTCCAGACCTGAATGGCATCCGGGAGCTCTCGAATGTTATTCGGAAAGTCAAGACTCAATTTGGGTTTTGGAGCATCAGTTTTAGTATTATGTATATTAGGGATGCACCGATACCGAGTATTTGTGTGAGTACTCGTACTCGCCCAAATGCTCTGATACCTAGCACGAGTACTTCCTGTATCAGGAAGCCGGGCAGCTCGTCATTACACGCTGCCTGGTTTCCTTATTGGCCGGGAAACTGCTCCATGCTCTCTCTTCACTTGTGATGAGAGAGCATGGAGCCGGCTTCCCTGCAAATCAGGAAGGCGGGTAGCGTGTAATGACGCGCTGCCCGGCTTCCCGATTGGTCAGAAAGCTAGTCAATCCGGGTGCCGTGTAACGACGCAGCGCCCGGCATTCTGATTGGCCGGGAAGCCGGCGTCATGCTCCCTCGTCATCTCATGAATCATAATATTAAGAAACTGACCTAAAATCATTAGTTTGTATTGCTTTAGAAAAAATGTGACCTGGTCCTTTAAGAAAAAGTATTGGTAATTGGTATCGGCGAGTACTTGATCAAAAGTATCGGTACTCGTACTCGGTCTTAAAAAAGTGGTATAGGTGCAGGGGCGTAACTAGAAATCACAGGGCCCCATAGCATAATTTTGTATGGGGCCCCGTGATTTCTAGTTATACCCCTTGCAGAGCCCACTCGAGATCCCACCTGAGGGTGACTCTGCAGAGCCCACCATAGACTCTCTATGGTGGGCTCTGCAGGATCACCCTCAGGTGGGCTAGTCGCACTCCTTACCTCCTCCGTCGCCAGGCCCGCCTCCTTCTTCGTCACCAAGGCCGCCTCCTCCCCTGCTGCCGAGCACGGGCCCGCCTCCTCCTCCACTGCCGGTGACGTCAGAGGCTCGCGACGTTGATAGAACACCGGGTCCAGCCTGCTCCCCCGCTGCTGCTGGCTCTCATTGACTGTGGAGACGAACGCGCCGCTGCACAGATGATCTGAACAGCGGCGTGTTCGTCTTCAGACGCCAGTGAAAGCCACCGGCAGAAGATCCCATAGCGACCCAGGCGGCTCCCACGGCATCTGGCCGGGCCCCACTGTGCTCCGGGCCCCATAGCGACCGCCTGGGTCGCTATGGTGATTGTTACGCCACTGTATCGGTGCATCCCTAATGTATATATAAGTAGTATTCTATAATACGAACGAATATTCGTAGCGGCTACATTGTGACCCATATATACATAAAACCAGGGACGTGCGGTCAGGGAAGGTAGAGCCTCACCTAGTATTATGGAGGAAAAAGCTGTCAGCTTCAAGTCTGAAGCTGACAGCTTTTTCTCCATTCAGAGCGGCTTGTTACAGGTTACACAGCAGGGAAATCCTCCCCGCTCTGTAACCTGTCATGGACGGAGCGCTGCCTGTTAATTACAGGCAGCACTGCATCCGGCTTTTGACAGGTAGTTAGGTTACACAGCAGCGGGCTTCCCCACTGCTTGTGTAACCTAACTTGGTGAGGCAAGAGCTGTCACAACCTCTTCTCTGTGTTAGAGGTGTGAGCTCTGTGGAGGGCTTGGACCAATGGCAAAGCACCATCGGTCCAAGCTGTCCAATCAAAAAAAACAAACAGTGAGGACATCGATCTCGATGCCTCACCAGTGACAAGCAAGTGAGTGACAGGAAGGCTCCTCCCTTCCTTCTCCCCACACAGGTTGGTTACTGAGCTGGGGGCGGGGCTTCGGTGGGACAGGGCAGAACTTCAGCGGGACGGGACAGAGCTTCGGCGGGCTGGGGGATGTCTCACCCAGCACAAAAGGCACTGCACGTCACTGCAAAAAACTAAACCTGCGGCTCCCAGACCCAAATGGCATTAAGGAGCTCACGAATGCAAATTCGGATTCAGACCCATTCGAATGCATTAAACTGATTAACACATCTGATTGGCCAGAAAAGTCACATGTCCGATTTGATTTCGTTTTTGAACGAAATTCGGACGGGATCCGAAATTCAGATTGGGACACATTCGGATGCATTGGGATTCGGAAATTCAGATGTGTCTGAATTTCGGAAAATTCATACGAATTTTGATTCGGAACGAAACGAATCGCACATGTCTACTCAGTACGCATGTAAATGTTTTTGGGAATGTTTACATGTTTATTACGTAAATGGACATGGGCTGCCTCTGCTGTCTAGTGTATGCCTCATTCAGGGCCAAGGGGGAGACGTAAACATAAACAAAGTGTAGGTGGCGGCACGGGCAAAGAATGACTGAAGGTGGAGGTCATTATGCACCTTCGTCATTTATATTTACACCCCCTCCCGCACCCACTAGAAAGCAGCAGCAGAGAATGACCGCAGCTTTCAGTCATTCTAAAGGTGGCCATACACTTTACAACCCTCGCAAGACTTTTGTCTTGCGAGGGTTGTAAAGTAATAAAAAAAACGTATTTTTTGTCCATCTTGGACAGGCAGATCGTACTTGCGATCACTGCAATGAGGGGCGGGCTTCCGATGACTGCAAACGGGCAGTGTGGCAGTTGTCGAACAAGCAGGCCACTAACTCGCCGAGAAGCTTAGGATTCCCGGTGGGTTTTCCAGCCAGCTTGTTCGACGGAAGACGTGCGACCGTACAGTAGAAACGGTCGCATG